CTCTACTTTTAAAACTTTCCTTTTTGTTAAAGATTGTATTGAGGCCCTGACCCTGAACACTGCCTTAGAGACCGAGGTGATCAGAAAATGTGCATGTTGCACAGCAGCGTGTCCGCTGGCTCGTGGTGCTCTGTGTCTGTGAGTCCAGTGACACAGGACAGCAGGGACACCTGTTGGTCTCCTGCCCGTGTCCCCACCACCCCCACCTCCCTGCTGGAGCTACAAGTGCAGTTTGGTCACACAGTGAAGTGTTGCCAAAGCGCACGTGTGTGACCCACAGCTGAGCCTTCCTGATTTGAGAGGATCACAGACCTGTAGTATGAGTGAGTTTGCAGCTCTCAGTGTATTTGTGTAAATCTGTAAATATCACGTTTGTGACTTTTTCCAAATAGAAGTTCACATTTGTTCCACACATTTTCCACCAGCGTAGCTGCCTGTGAGACATCTGCACATGTTCAGCTTCACTGTGACACAAATGCACACGTCAGCCCAGCCTTGTGATAATTTGTGTGTGTGTGTGTGTGTGTCCTTTTATATGCAGCAATATTCCAAACCGGTCAACATTTGTGTGTCCGTTCTGTGGGGCCAGAAACCTGGACCAGCAGGAACTGGTGAAGCACTGTATGGAAAACCATCGTAATGACCCAAATAAAGTGGTGAGACAGTGACGACTACACCACACTGTTAAACTGTGTATTAGGATGACATCAGCACCATCTAGATTATTTCTGGGTGTCAGGAACAGAATTGCCTTTAATCTGTCCGTGAAACACAAACGTCTCCGAGAATCATTAGGAAATCTTGGAAAAGTCTTTTTCTTTGCCTCGGAGTTACACTTCTGTTCCTGCTCCCACTGAATCCCTCCTGAGGTTCCTGAGGTATTCATGGCTGTAAGGTGTAAGCAGTACAGAACATAGATTTCCAGACTACAACACTCACTAATTTCCTGTTAACACGTGTTGTGTGGCTCGTCTCCTTTGTTCGGCTGGATTCCCTCCTCACCTCAGCCCTGTGCAGGCAGCGTGACGGTGCTGCTTCTCACCAAGCAGGCTTCTCTGTGTTTGCAGAGGCGCTAAACTCACTGTGTTTGTGCAGTAGATGCAGTAAACACGGCCTGTAGTCCAGAGAAAAGCCGGAAGCTTGGTCAGACCAGAGAAGCCTTATATAGAGATGCCAGTTTGCACGGGTTTCTATGACAAAGCCACACACACTCATCTCGTTGTTTTACATCCACAGCTTCCTGCCTGCTGCACCTGTGATGTGTGTGTCCTTTAATGGCTGTGTGCTCGTCCCTGCA